TGCTTTGATAATTTCCATTTAATTCACAATGGCTAGAGCAGGGGTAGGCCATCTCGACTCTTTTATGACTCATGGACTTCAACTCCCAGAATTCCAGTTGATTCAGGAATTCTGGAAGTTGAAGTCCATGAGTCATAAAAGAGCCGAGGTTGCCTACCCCTGGGCTAGAGGAACAAACACAAACACACACACAAATTTCTCCAATACCTGAGCTCCGTTATAGAACAACTCATGTAACTGCAAATCAACCTTAACTCTCTCCAGCTAGTTTTCATCTTATAACCCAGAGCACAGCAACCATTTGAAGTTACAATGGATTTCCCTTAAGCTACTTATGACCCAGATTCAAAGTTATGATGGGTGCCTCCCTGTGGCCATGTGATTGCATTTGGGGCATTCAGCAACTGGCTCACACTTACACTTGTTTGCAATACCTCATAGTTACATAACTGTGATCTACTATATTTTTTTGCAAAAACCAATGCTTACTTCTGGTTTCCAGCAGAAATGGCTACTGACAATGGATTCACTTAATGACCACAGCATTCATTTAATGATCATGGTGATTCATTTAATGGCTACAACAAAAAAGATTGTAAAACCGGATATAGTCACATGGTAACCCCTTTTAATGCCTGGCATCACTTATGGCCATAATTATAGGTTCAATTATGATTGTAAATTGAAGATTACTTGTATAAAACTAGCAAGATTTTTACCCACATTATCCTCTTTTGGAACATCTTCCAGTTGTGGTTATCTAACTATCTGAACTCTGAAATGGAGAAAAGTGAGCTATGTTTGACAACTGGATGCCTAGTTTTGGTTATTTTGGGGTCCAAAGTATAATTAAGAAGAAAATCTTAAAGAGGACAGTATGGCTAAGAAATGTTTCTCAATATTTTTTTATTCCTTTCCAAAGCAAAAAATGGTTCTTTAAGGGAGGGAGAGTTCCACATAGTTTTTTTGTTTGTTTATATTTTGTTTTGACGCTTGCAACAGGCTGGTGATGTGCAAAAAGTATCATGAAAGTACCAGAGACATCTGCCTTCCATGTAGGATTTGGAATAACTGCTATGTTGCCTTTGGAGTAATATCATTTAGATGATTTTGGCTAATATAAAAGCTAACCAGTGTCAGCTGTGGTTAGCACTTGGATGACAAATTACCTGCAAATTTCAGCTCACTGGCTAGACTAGAAAGTCAGAAATACATCTTTAATGAGGCCAATGCAAACCATATTGATAATACTGCCAGAGAAATTGCGTAAATATAAGCACCATGAGTCTCCCTCAAGTCAGAGGTACTTTTAGCTTCCACAGTTAGCTGTATATGTGTGGTCAGGTTGTTTCTTAACAATCACATAAATATACTATATCCAGGATTATCTGTCCCTAACAGTTTTTCTTGGCACGCTCATCATCATTATAACTGAATCTATTCATTTTGCCGCTGGCTGTCCTTATATGATAATCTAAATCTGGCATTTTATAATTCAAGTGAGAACTTTAGAATGATGCTTTCTATGATCCTTTTGTTTCTTTGCTTATCTATACTATTATTTTGAGTCTTCTCTAATACCAAGTTCAAAACTGTCAATATCCTATCTATCCTATTCCTCAAAGTCCGTCTTTTGCTTCCATTGAATATTAAAGGAAAACCAATGCCTGTTCGATTTTGAATCTTTTTTTACGTGTAGACACATCATGACATTTAACACCCTTTCCAAGCAGAATTAGTTACAAATTGAAAATCTTGGGACTTCCAGCCAGCATTTTGGTGAAGCTGGTTGGGAATTGAAGACCCTAGAACAGTGGTGGCGAATCTATGGCATGGGTGCCAGAGGCGGCACTCAGAGCCCTCTCTGTGGGCACTCGTGCCATCGCCCCAGTCCTAGGCCTTTTATAAAACCTTTTTATAAACCTGGGTTTTATAAAACCTTTTCGCTTTAGGCCTCCGCTGCCATGTACAAAAAAAAAAAAAAAGGTTCAAACAGTCAATTTCAACTTCTCTCAGGGGAAAAAAAAGATCTTGCAAAGTTGGAATTCATTGAGTGAACTTTTTAGTCCCACCCAGTCTGCCATTACCACTGCAGCCACACCCACCCAATGGACCACACCCACCCGGCACTCAACGATGCATAAGTGGGTTTTGGGTTGCAGTTTGGGCACTCGGTTTCTAAAAGGTTCACCATCACTGCCCTAGAACAGGGCTTTTCAACTGGTGGTACATGTATCACCAGTGGTACTTAGCATCTGGCAGGTGGTATGCGACCTTTAGCCAAGTGTAGCGGAAGAGGGAACAAACTAAAGCGGCGCTGCACAAGCCTAGAGGAGATCAGCTGGAGCTGCAGGGCTCGGCAGAAGCCCCAGGACCTGCGTGTGTGGCTGCATACTGATTGGAGCTTACAGGGCACCCAGAAAAGGAGGAGGGGGGTGGAGAGAGAAGCTATAAAAGAAGGTTTTGGTGGTAGAGGGAGAAAGAGAGAGGCTTTTGTTAGTGAAGTGGTGAGGAGGGAGCAAGCGAGCGGCCTTTGTGAGCAAAGGGGAATGAGTGAGAGCGAGGGGTTTTTGTGAGCAAAGTAAGTGAGTGAGAGAGCGAGGGGCTTTTGCGTGCACAGGGCGAGTGAGTGAGAGAGTGACTAGGGCTTTTGCGAGCAAAGGGTGAGAGAAAAACAGAAAAGTGAGGGGGCGAAGGAAAAATGAAAAGCCGTTGACTTCTTATTTCCTCTGTTGCAGTAGAAAGAAGCATTAACACTGAACCTCAACTTTTTACTTTTCCATATTATAAACTAGCCATTTCTACTACAACAAATAAATCTAACCAGTAAAACCCCAAATTCCCCCTTTTTTAGTCATCAAATTTTTGACATCTTGCTAAGCACTGGTGGTACTCGAAAATTGTTATGTCCTAAAAGTGGTACAATCTGTGAAAAGATTGAAAAGCCCTGCCCTAGAAGACATCTATCAGCCTATCAGCCCCCTCTACCACAAAGATCTTGCAGGAGAAGGGCAGCGTGGGCAACCGTGGGATCTGGCAGGGTGAGAGCTGTGAACCATAAACACAAAGCTTTTGCTGTGTCCCTGCATAACAGATACAGAGCCCTTGCTGACTTTAATAGGGACATTAAGGAGACAGGTCAAGGTAGTTGTGATGATAACTCAAATAAGCAGGGGATCTGGTCCGAGATGAAGAACTTGTTTTTGATAGGGAGAAGTGCGAATCAGGTATTACACATCAGTCATGCAAGAGGAGAAAGGTATCCAAAAAGAGAAGCCACCTTCTGGTTGGTGATTCAATTATAAGAGATGTAAATTTAGGAAAGGACACAGAGGTTTCGAAAGAGGTCAGGTGTCTTCCAGGTGCTATGGCCAGTAGGGACAAGAAGTGTATTTTTAAAATAGTCAAGAATGCCAGTAAGGACTGTAATGTGGAGGCTATTGTACATCTTGGCACTAACAATCTGTCCCAAAAAGATGTACTCTCTGTGCAGAATGATTTCCAGAGCCTGAGGCAGGAACTTAGCAGGATAGGCTGTAGGCTTGCTTTTTCAGAGGTTTTATCAATGTATAAGGAGCAAAATGGAAAAGGCCAGCTTATAGCAGAATTCAATAGGTGGCTAAAGGAGTGGTGTAAAGGGGAAGGCTTTGGTTATATTAGTCACGATGTCTGTAGCTAGTCCAATGAAAAAATGTACAAGAGATGGTTTGCATCTATCAAAGAAAGGGACTGAGTTACTTGGCAATAAATTCAGATTTTTCTGGAGGAATATTTAAACTAAACAACGGAGACAGTGAGTTAGTTGACATAGAATATCCCTGTCCCCGGCAATCTAAAAATTATAGGGCTATCAGTGCATGTAACATAGATGTGTGTGTGGACAAGAATATCAACCTTGCTGTCAAGCAAAATCAAGCTTTTAATAGGGAGTGCCACACAAAGTGCACTAACCAAACAGGTGGTAAGAAAATAGGGGAACTCAGGCATCACACAGGTTATGTAGCAAGTAAACACAGGGTCAGTCATAAAGGACTCAAATGTCTATACACCAACACACAGAGTATGAACAACAAACAGGGTGAACTAGAAATTCAGATTAATGAGGGCAGATATGATATTGTTGCCATTATGGAAACATGGTGGGATGAAACCCACACATGGAACACACAGCTAGAGGGATTTAAATTATTTAAAAGAAACAGACCAAATAAAAGAGGAGGTGGAGTTGCTCTCTATATAAGAAATAACTACATCTCTACAGAAATAGAGCACAACAATGATAAAAACTGTCTTGAATGCATTTGGGTCAATATAAAAGGGGGGAAAATGACATTGGCGTAGGTGTATACTACAGACCATCCAACCAAACAGAGGAAATAGATGAACTTTTTGCTAATCAGCTAACTAAGGTATGTAGGAAGTACATCACAATAGTAATGGGGGACTTTAATTACCCTGACATCAACTGGGAGACAAACTTTGCACCAAGTGGAAGATCAAACAGATTCCTGACAGCTATTTGCTGATATTCTGCCTTAGTTATGTACCCCTCTTTCCACTTTTTATACTTGTCCTTTTTATCTTTCAATTTATTAGAGAGTTCTTTATGCAGCCATGCTGGTTTCTTGTGAGAGCTATTATTTTTCTTCTTTGTTGATATTGTGCTAGACTTGGTTTTATTACCTCACTTTTCAAAATTTCCCAAGCTTCTTGAGTTGTTTCCCCTTGAGGATTCTCATCCATGGAATCCCTCCCAAGCCGTCTCTAAGTTTATTGAAATTAGCTCTCTTAAATCCAAGACTATAGTTTTACTATGTTCTATTGCTTGCATAATGTTGAATTCCAATATTGCATGGTCACTCCCTCGCCCCAAGGTTCCTGTGGTTCCAAGGTTCCTTTTATCATTTTATCTCAGTTAGTGGTCATCTCTGTCAGGCAGTAACTCAGTTTATGCACGTAAGAGCAGGTCATGTTACAACAGCCTTCTGACTCATGCTAACCTGCAGCCAAGCTCTCCTTTAAACACGTCACCTCACGACACTCGGTTGCCGCTCCTTCTCCTGCTTTTGCAGCCTGTCTCAACAAGTAACTGCTCCCCAACGGCCCTCCCAAACGCAATGTGCGCCTGCGCTATCGGAGCCCCAGCCCGGCAGGCGAAGCAGGACAGGAGAAGGGGCGGGGTCCTGACCAAGACGCGGAAGGTATCCTCGACGCGTGCGCACCACAAGACTTTGGCTCAGCCAAAGGGGCGGATTCGGAGGGGCGCATGCGCAGAAGACGTGGCAGCTGGCGTAGTGACTGGGGCGCAGCCTGTTCTCGGTGTTATTGGCGGTCAGGATGGACGAGGATATTTTGACAACGCTAAAGATCCTCATAATCGGCGAAAGCGGCGTGGGCAAGTCCAGGTAACTCCCTCCTTAGCTCGGGCCAGTTTCAGCCACCCTGAGTCTTAGCGTCCTTTCTCCCACTGCCGGGCTTCCTCGCCCCACCCCGCCTAGGCCCCGTTTGGGCGCCCCTTCGAGCTAAAGGGCATTTTTTCTGCCCGGAGGGGCGTCGTGAGGAGTGGGGAGCTTGTTCCCCGACGGCCATTTATATTTACTCGCGAGAAGGTTCCCAGAGTTGGTGGGACTCGCTCTTCACTAAGGGTGGGGCGGCGGGGGAGAGGGCGGCGGTCTGGGCGATGAAGCACGTCTGAAAGCCGCAACCCCGAATCCCTCCTCTGCGCTTGTAGATCACCTGTGGCTCAGAGGAATGTCGCACTCTGCGAATGCTCAGAGGCACTGCGCTAGTCTTCTGCTTGATTGCGTTTGAAAGCCAGCTAGGAGGCTGAACTTAATGTAATTGTGGGAGGGTGAACACTCTCAATTTTGGGGTGCTTCCTATAAATGTTGCCCTTGCTGACTCCAGAGAGAGGCGTGGCCTTGCCTTTTGGGGGGGGAGAGGGAGGGGTGGCAGTTTGCTCATGGCTGCCTGCTCAGTCCATAGTACACGTGATTGGTGATTCTTGGATTGCTTACAATAACCTTTGCCTTGCTTGTGATGTATTTCTTATAATCCCCTTGGTATTATTACTTGTGGTGGAGTAATATCTCTGGTGGTATGACATGGCTTAGCTTTATTGCTGTGAGCAGTGTGTTGATCCAGATTTTTAAGAAAACATCAACCACAAATGAAAAACAAGATATCATAATACAGTAGTGAATTCCAGCAGTTAAAGACTATTTCATGTTTGTTTATTTTATGTAGTCATCCACCTCAAGTAATAACTCTGAGTTGCTAACAATGTTAAAAATATAAAAAAGAGAAAGAAAAAAATCCCAAAGCAACAAACATAAAACAGTACCTAAGATATAAACAGATCAACCCATAACAATTAACATAGCCAATGCATTGGCTCAACTCCACCTCCTGATCCCCAGGCTTGGTGACAGAACCAGTTTTTTAAGTCCTTCAGAAAGACTGATGTGTTCTGGAAGCAATGGTAAACTTCATAAGAAATTTATCTCATGTTTGTATTAAGTTGGATTGTGAGTCAAGATGTTTTGGTTGTCTGTCACTATTTGCTAGGCTTGTAGAAATATGTTCTGTATAGCATTGACTATGTGATAAAATAGTTTCTGATACCTAAATCTATAATTCAGAAATTACACAAGTGAAAGAAAGTGGGGGGAGGGATGCATGCATGTTTGTACCCCCCCCACATCCTTCCCTTCTCCATTGCCTTGATAGACTATATTTTTTTCTTTGCAAGTGCTTTGCTAACAGGCAGAGTTTCAAAATACCTTTTGCATTAGATCATCCCCAAGTATATGACTTTAAAAGTTTACATTTTGCAAGGTATTGTTTATCTGTAAATAAATAATGCAAGGCATACTGCAAGCTTCAGAGCTTCTAGGAAAGTAAGCTGAAATTGTACTAGGGATAAAGTTAAGATACTTTGTGGTATATAGCATGAAGGATAAGAGACTGGAAGAGGTGGTTTTTTTTTTAATGCAGAGTGTATTTATTTAAACATGAGATGGTGTGTTGAATATAATTGAACAAGTAGAATATGATCTTTTTTTTTTTGTTCTCCTGCGGTTGAAACTTGGATATTTTACTACAGCAGACTCCCAGTGGGATGAAATAGGCAGCATGGTGTTCCTAAGAAGTCTTGAGCAACAACTCATATAATCCTTACTTGTTAGCTATGCTAATTTATGGGGATTTTCTAGTCTAAAAGATATAGTGAGCAATGAGTTGCCTATCCCTCAAACAAACTTTGGTGAGATGTGTAAATGTCTATTATTCAACACTTCTTTGTGCAGCTGTCCTTCAAGATTGATTCATATAATCTGCATGTTTTTGGTATAGTGAGGTTGAAAGGGTTTTTAAGGCTATTGAAAGAGTTTACAACTTGGATCAGCAAGATGAACTTCCCAGATCACTGGGAATGTATTATTTGTATTCCATGATATCTGCAGATATTGTGTTCCTGTGGGTATCTATAAATACATTATTGACATCTTAAATCTTAACATTCAAGTAGCGCTGTAGCTATTTTTTGATAAATATGCAGTGAAATTTAATATAAGGGGTTTTTAAAATCATAAATATTATAATCTAATGAGAAAATAAACTTATCTGATATGATGACGTAACCTTAAGCTGAACCAGACCATAGTAGTAGAAGGGTTATTGAAAAGAAGATAAGCTCTTTCTCCACTTAAATATATGTTTGATGTCTTAGAAATCATATTTTCTTTTTAGATTGATAAATACATCTGAAATGCTGAGAATGTACTGTAAGCACAATTACAGAATGACTGCTTTGTTACCTGTGGCCAATCATAAAAGGATCACAAATAATAGGGCAGGCTAATGAGATTGTCTTAGGACATTTTTGCCTCTCTACAATTTTCTCTATTACAGCAACATGCCCTGACCCCTTTTTTGATGGATATACTGACAAACAGAATACTGGCTATAGTCATCTGATACATTTTTTTTCAAATAATGGCAATGGGGGCCCATATAGACAGGAAAGATTATTCTGCTAATTTACTATTTCCTTTTAATTTTTAAAACCTGTAATACAAACCTGTAAATCAGGATGGCCTGGCTCCAAATGGACAAGAATACAGAGGAACAGTAAACATGGTAGACTCTAGTTTTTGAAGATATCTACCTTGAAGGAGAAGGTGTTCTTTATTAAAAATGTAACTGCTTAATAGAGTTTGGAATTGGTAATGAATATTTGCAGCAGAATTTATAAAACCTAATTTCTTTCTCCTCCTCTCTTTTCCTTTGTAAAGCCTTTTGTTACGGTTTACAGATAATACATTTGATCCAGAACTTGCAGCAACAATTGGTAAGTTTGTATTGATTGTATTAGCTTGATCAAATATAGAATATGAAGCAATGCTAACATATTTTGTTGCTTGATAAAAATGGAATCATTGTAATTGAGAAAGCTCATTCTGATTCTGTTATAATTGAAACAAAATACTGATTTGCCCAGTTGGATTACAAACTTTTCATTAAGTATAGGCATTTTACAAAATTTAACTTTTCTAACAGAATAAAGAAATTAAACATGAAGCTGCTCCTCTACCATTTACCGTAGTTATTAATCTTATAAGGTTCTCTATTTACAGTGATTGTTAGCATTTGAATATACCCATATTAATTGAAATATCTGATATAACATTGTATCCAATTTTGATTATACCTTGAATAGACTCACAAAAAACCAATCAGACCTAATCTAAAAAAAGTTCTATTTTGATGTTTCTGTTCTTAAAACTATTAAGCTTGATTCTAAAGTGCCATGGTACAATTGTACTGAAGCCTTCACCTTACATATGTTGGTTGAATAGTGTTTGTTTCTTTTTTTGCATTCCTTTTTATTGTATATTATCTGTATATACATTTAATATATTGATTTATATTGTGTTGTAAACTTTTTGGCCTCCAAAGAAAGCAAAAAATCAACAATCCCAAAATAAAGACACAATCTAATTCTTGATTTGTTTACATGAACCAACTGTGCCTATTTGTCTTTTAAGAGGTTTTTTTTTTTTTTAGTATATAGTCTGATACTATGGAAGGCATATCTTATAATCTATTTCACAAAAAGCTGGCATAATAAAGCATGGTAAGAATTTGGTAAAGTATGTATTAATCAGAGAATTCTCCTAAGTTTGGAGCATATAAACAAAAAGCATTGACTTTATAACTGTACTTTGGCTTTCAATCTGTTGCTATGATTGCTTAAATTCAGCTAATATGTTAAAAGCTTTTAGAAATTGTATAAATCCTTCAAAAGCAAGGGAACATGTATAAAATATTTTCTTTTGAATTACTAAGCTACAGAGTGACTTACATGTACATGCATGCAAAGATAGCCCAGAGCAAATTAGCCAGGCAATTATGTAAAAAACTATAATGATTTGAGGGGACCTATTTCACTTGCACTCCCATACATTAAAAGGAACCTCTTTTGAATGGTATGTAGCTCTGCTATTTTTTGCTCTTTGCTTTTTTCTTAATTATTTGCATAGTATATGAGAGTTTGTATGATATTGAGACATTAATGTTTACCCTTTCTTGATGATAAATACATTAACATACTAGAGAGGCCCATTTTTTTTCTATACTTATAGTCTTGAAAAAAATGATTAACATTAACTAGAGTCCTCTTTACAGAATGAAATTTCCTACCTAGATGCATAATTTTAAGCTATTACATGTTTTTATTGTAATGTTATTTTATTGATGCCTTCAAGTTAATGTTGATTCCTAGCAATTGTTTGGAGAAATCCCTGCAGTTTTCTTGGTAATATTTCAAAAATGTTTTTTTCTTGCCTTCTTCCTAGAGCTGGCCCAAGTTTACACATCTGGCTTCATGCTTAAAATGGAATTAGAACTCACAGTCTCTCAATTTCCAACCTGGTGCTTTAAGCACTATGCCAAACTGGCCCCCTTAAAAATGTTTCTTTATTAAAGCTCTAATTTGGCTAATATTTGAATATAGTTAACAAATGAAAATTGTGCTATTGATTTTAGAATAGTTTGCAAACTTTTCAAATCAAATATCTTATAATTCAGTTTTACAGTATTCATGCTTATTGAAAATACAGTAAAGAAATCCTGTTGCAGTTTTTTAGATGCAAAGATATGTGTGATGTGCCTAATAACTACAAAAGCAGGAAGAGGAGATCTGATTCAAATCAGTGAGATGGCCATCATGTTTTGAAGGGCTTTTTTTTCTAGTGGGTTTGTCATTAATTAGATTAATTGGATAAAGGAACACGTAATCTTAAAGAGCATCTAAAGATGGTATTAATCAGGAGGAAAAACATATTTTTATAAAGACAATTCAGTTTTCTACATTTTTTTAAATATTAAAGTAAATGATTCTGAAACAATGTAATAGAACCTTTAAAATTTACTTGCATATCACTTAACAATGCAGAGTTAATAGTAACATTTAGCTTTTTGAGTGAAGTTTATCACATTTAACACTGCCCACTTAATCAGAATGACTCTGGGTGGTGTACAGTTAAAAGCATACAAATACAAATTTATAAAATATACTTAAATAAAAGGAGCCAAGTATAACAACATAAAATAAGTTAAAGATTAAAAGGTGTCAGAAACAGGGTGGGTCCCAAACTTCTGCAATATTAAAACTTAAAAAGAGGTAGGAGAATGCTGTAAGTCAACAGTCGGTGGAGGAATTTCCTCACAATCCCAGGCAGAAGAGGGTGATGTCGCTCTTAGAAGAGAGATTTGGATGAGAAAAAAATGGATAAAGTAATCTGGACTCCAAGACATATAATGTATAATACACCACCTTATTTTGCCTGTGACTTTGAATACCCAAGTGTTCCATAAAAGGTCACTGGGGTTCCCTGGGAGATCTTGATTTATTTTAAAAAAAAGTGGAGATCAAAGGAAAAAACCTCTAACCCCTAACTCTGGATTCGCCTGTAGAACCCTGGCAGGAACCAGGGGTTGCATGTATATGTGCCACAGGGAGGCAGGCAAAGTGCAAGCTGAGGAAGGGGGCTTGGAGAGAGATGCTGCTGGCGCCTCCCCATCTGTGGCCCTCCTTGCTGGCGGTGTACGCTTGTCTTTCACAGGTGCACCAGCCCAGAGGTCTCTGTCTCAGGGCAGGTGCAGGAGATCCAGGGATGGATTATCTAGGGAGCAACGGCAGAAAGAGCTACCCAAAAAGGTGGGGGTAGGGAAAGATTTGTGTTTGTGGAGGCTTTGGCATCAGAACGCTACAAGATCAGAAAAGATTGAGGAGTCCAGGGGAGAAGGGTGTTGGAGATTGCAAGGTATCTGCCCCCCCCACTCTAGTTTTATATGTACTAATGTTCTGTTATCTTACACCATGATGCCGTTGGTAAAAGTGATTAACACACACCCCTGACCATCCACAGTAAGTAACACACATTTACAAAAAGACATATTATTTTCTTGAATACAGGGCTGTATTTTGCATGAGACAAATGGTGTACAAAAGGCTGTTCTGCCCCCTATAATTGTACTGGTTTTATGTTTCTCAGTCATTTTTGCAGAGTTCATAAAATGAGTGGGCCTCACTTTGTTAGATACTTTTTAGTGAATGAATTATACCGCTACAGAATTGGTCATTTTATACCTGAGCCATAAGTTCATTCATCAAACAGCTTCTTACAAAGTTACAAAAAAAAAATTACAAAAAAATAGAAGCAGCAGAAGTTAGAAATAGTGTGAATCCCGCAAACCATAGATTGTGTCTCATATTATTTGCTCCCTCATTCTCCCTCTGTGTTGCTTGCAATGAAAGATTATGTTTGTAAAAATGCAACCTCTCTATCGTTTGCTCTTTAGTGCTGAATTTCTTTGAGAAGATGCATTTAATATTGAGTATTATTTATAATATGTGTTAAAATACCACTAAAAGTCTAGTCTATGTTCTTCCAAATTATTCCGCAATAATAAAATAATAAGAACATGATCACTTTCAGAATTAGTTCATACCAATCTGTCTTTCAATCAGCGTTTTTCCTGTATATTACTACTACCTATATTCTGACGTATAAGACGACTTTCTAAACCCTGAAAATCTTCTCAAAAGTCAGGGGTCGTCTTATATGCCCAGTCGTCTTATACGCTGGAAAATACCCGCATGTGCGTCGGAGGCCAGCCGGCTGGGCCGGGAGGGGAGAAGCGGTGCCTTCCGAGCGGGAACTGGCGCTCCGGCCGTGCCCCTCTTGCATGCGATGGGCTGTGCGGCATGGAAAGGAGCTCCCACGACCCCAGGAGGCTGGAGGGGTAGGCAGGTCATGGGGGGGGCGGCTGGGAGAGGGCAAGAGGTACCAGGATGAGGATGGAGGGCTCCAGGTTGGCGGGTGTGAGAGTGCAGCCGGCGGCTCCGAGGTGCACGGATCCTCCGCGCAGCTTCCAAGGCCCCGGATGTGCCGCCGCTTGGCTCTCCACCAGGTTCTCCGCCAGAGCCTCCCCTGCCCTCCACCGGCAATTGTGCGGAGCTGCTTGTGCGTCCTTGGCAGCGCCTCCCCCTTCAATCTCTCTCTCTCTTTCTCCTTCCTTCCTTCCTTCCTTCCTTCCTTCCTTCCTTCCTTCCTTCCTTCCTTCCTTCCTTCCTTCCTTCCATCCATTCCCCTTCAATCTCCTTCCTTTCCCCTTCAATCTTCCTTCCTTCCCCTTCCCTCCCTCCCAACATTTTTGAGCAAAGAAGAATAAGTTTCTCCAGCGAGCATTGCTACCGTATTTTCCGGCTTATAAGATGACTTTCTAAACCATGAAAATCTTCTCAAAGGTTGGGGGTCGTCTTATACACCCAGTCGTCTTTTATGCCGGAATATACAGTACTACTGGTACTGCTACTACTACTAATGTTGGAAGGGACCTTGGAGGTTATCTAGTCCAATCCCCTGTTCAAGCAGGAAACCCTTTATCATTTCAGACAAATGCTTGTCCAGTCTTTTCTTAAAAACTTCCAGTGTTGGAGCATTCACCGCTTCTGGAGGCAGGTTGTTCCACTGATTAATTGTTCTAACTGTCAGGAAGTTTCTCCTTAGCGCTAGGTTGCTTCTCTCTTTGGTTAGTTTCCATCCGTTGCTTGTCCTAACTTCAAGTGCTTTGGAGGAAAGCACTTGACTCCCTCTTCTTTGTGGCAGCCCCTGAGATATTGGAACATTGCTATCATGTCATCCCCCTGTGACATCTCAATATCATGTCTGAAACAACATATTGTGCTCTTGTGTTTTAGGTGTTGACTTCAAAGTGAAAACAATCTCAGTTGATGGAAATAAGGCTAAGCTTGCAATCTGGGTAAGTCTTAATAATAAAATATATGATTCCATTACTAACTGAATATGTTGGCAGTTAACAGCACTATCTGTAAGTAATAATTTATCTTATTTTGGTAAGTGAGATTTCAAAATACTGGTGAATAAGTATGATGTTTTGTTATGTTTAAGCAAAGCATAAAAATTTAATCTTTAGAAGGTTTGTGTACTTGTAGTTATATTGCTTTTCAGAATTTGAACTATTTGCAAGGAATACTGTAATATGAATAATTGAAATATATTCTTTCATGTTCTTATTGAGATACTTTTTATTCTTCCATTTCCATGTAATAATGATAGACCGAGGAAAGCCAATTTTAAAAATCTCATATTACACAGAAAAGAAAGCACTGCCCATTTGGTGTTTTCTAATTAATTAATATGAAAACATAGAGGTTTGTTGGAAGGCAGATTGAATAAGTTTGACCCTAAGTCTCATCTATTTTATAGGGCTGTCAAAGGACAAAAAAAATGGCAGAAACTTAACACTGCTATAAAATATGTGTATGGGGTTAGTTTAATGCCAGGAACAGAATAAGTCAGTGTTTTGCCAGGAGCTGCTATGTGGCACAGCTGCTAGGAAGAGGGCAAGGAAGCACCCTGAAGAGAGAGTTCGGTAGAGAATGCAGCAGCTTCTTCACCCCATGTGTCGTCAGAGCTTGGGTTGGCAAAGGTCCCTTCAAGACTGCCTTCTTGTTCCATACATTTGGGTAGGGAAGTGTTGTGCCTCCCTCACACTGAGAGGTGAAATCCTTTCCTAGCCTAATTTCTCAGCATATGCTGATACATTATCATTGGTATTGCTGCCAACCTCGGTGTTCCTTTCCCAGAATGGCTATTCTCTTCCCACCCAGCAAAGGAGCATAAAGGGCTGCTCACCCACCTGGGACGGGTGAAGGTGCTGGGGAGAAAATTCAAAGGTAAGTAGGGATGCCTGCCTCAGCCATAGCAGCATCTTTTTCCACTCTGAAGCTGACAGGTCCTGACCTGGGCTGTGACAACAGTTGGATGAGGAATTAGATGCGCAACCTCCAGATTCAGAGTTTCACGTTCTTCTTCATTTTTAGTCAATCTGTACTGCCTAGCCATGGTCAGCAATCTTGCTAGCATACTGCTGGATATCATTCTCCTGCTGCATGTGTCATTTTGGCACCGGCTGCAGAAAATTATATGCATGTAGTCTGTGAGTCACAAATTTGAGACTTCTACTCTAAAGGATTATTTTAATAATCTGGCAGATTTACATCTATTTATATCTAGAAGTTATTAGAAGTTGATATGAGCTCTGTGACAAGGACTGACTTTTTCCGAAATTAATCTGGTTTGCTAGGAATAACTCTTCTTCCATAGACAGAACTTAGCATTGGTGAGCCAAGTATGATTATCAAGTGTTTCAATTGTTTATGAAACTGTCTGGGAAATTGCTCTAGAAGAGGCATATAGGTAATAATAAAAAATGAAACTGGTTGAATAAAGTTATAACCAGTGTTATGAGCTTATGATACAAGCTGGATTCTCATAACATATTAGGCTAACACATAGTTGACTAGTTTGCAGTTCAAATATTATATGAACAACCGCTTTTTTTAAGGAGGTGAAATACACAGCTTTCTGAATTTTTTTAGGACACTGCAGGTCAAGAGCGATTCAGAACATTAACACCCAGCTATTACAGAGGAGCACAAGGAGTTATATTGGGTAAATTTATGACTACTCACCGCTTATCTGAAAATACTCTAATTTTATTAAGACTTAAGTTTTTAACTCTTTTGCCTTGATGAAATTCTAGCAGAGTATCTGTCAGCTTTATGGTATTTAGCATTTAACACTGTCAAGTTATAAAGTTATTAAGAGTAGGAAATCAGTTCTGTGGGAATTGCTAGAAGGTGGTATAAGTAGTCTTTGGCTTATGTCTATATTTGAGACCAGAATTAGTCATAAGTGTGGTGGTTGTTAAGTGAGTCATCACACTGATTTTGTTACCTTTTTTGTGGCAGTTGCTAAGGGAACCCATTTTCCTTAATTGATATTTTTTGCCGGAAACTGGAAGAAATACTGGAGACTGGTAAAAACCACCAAAAATTACAGTATGACCATGGGATGCTGCAAATGGCTATTGCCAAGCGCCCAAAATGTAATCACATGACACATTCTCCCCTCTCCAACCCTGCACTCTCTCTCTCTCTCTCTGTGTGGGGGCATTGGAACTCTGAATTGGGTTGTAAATAGCTCTGGGAAAGTTGTTATTAACTTTGAACAGTTGCTAAAATATCAGTTGTTAAGTAAGGACTACCTGGACTTCACAATGCATTGTTCCTGATTCTGCTGTTTGTCCTCATCCTGGGGTTCTCAAGAAAGGCTTTTCATTTTTTAACATCAAAGCAGCTGCAGTTGGCTTCAGTTTGACATGGGGGTGGTAATATTTCTTTTCAGCAAATTCCTTGCTCAGAATTCTTTTCTAATTTGCACATCTAAAGAGGAGAATTTGAAACTGGCAAATTCACCAGAAGGGTAATGAAATAATTGCTTGTCTTATTGCTATATCTTTAATCTGAATTTACATATAGATATTTTAAGTAGTAAGAAAGGCATTGATAGGAATTGTGGGCCATCTGTACCATAGTTTCTTCAGAATTAATATTTGGGGGATTTGTGTTCTCATGGGAAGAAAATGTCAGTTTGGTATAAAAAAATATTGAAAAAGAATTATCAATCTCCTTTCATTTTCTGACTTCTTGATTTGCTATGTTCAGATTTGCTGATATTGTAAAAATGTAATAATGAAATGGAGGTGGAATATCTCTCTATAAATTATAGTGCATTTGTGTAAGACAGTATCTATGGGTTTAGGCCCAGACCCTTGGCCATGCCTTCGCCCCCTGCCACCCTCCTCAGCCCATTTACAGCTAGCTTTTCTCCTTTGCTGGCCATCCCCCAGCCATTCTTCTTAGCCAATTTGCTGCTGGCCCTTTGGCAGGGCTGTGTGTGGGGGGCTAGCATGCAATGCAAGTACTGCGGTTGCTCTGCAAGTTTTGGGGCCTTGCAGATCTGTCACTAGGCCTGGAGGGGCCGCCGAGGCCATTGGGGAGCAGACAGGCGAGAATGTGTTGGGGGAACCAGGAAGGGCGCCTCAAGAGAGCTTGACAAAGGCAGCTTGGCTCGAAACTCAAATGAAAGGGGAGGAGGAGCAAGACTGGTGCGGCTTCTGATATTGGGGGGGGGGGGCTGGAGGTGCACAGGCGAATGCCAAGGCTGGTGCGGCTTCTGCAATTGGGCGCAGCAGGCTAATGGAGATGGCCTGCAACTTCTGCTATTGCAGGTGGCAGGAGGTGCGGCAGGTGAACAGAGGTGGAGCGTGAACTGTCCGTTTGGTGTCAGGCGCAGAAGCAATGGTAGGGAGGGTGGGAAAAAAAGTCACTGCTTCACAGGTGCTTTTTTTTAAGCTGTCAGAAGCTCTGGGCTGAGTGGGCAACAGGCAAGCAGTGGTGGATGGGTGCTTCCCATTTTGTCCGCTCTCCCCTCCGTTGCCTCTGCACCTGGACTCCAGTCTGACACTGAATGGGCAGTTTGCACTCTATCTCCGTTTGCCTGCTGCACCCCCTCCCCACCAAGCTGTCCATAATTGCAGAAGCCACTTTGGCCTTGCCATTTGTCTGCGCACCCCTCAGCCCCCTGCAACACCAGAAGCCGAGCCAGACTTGCTCCTCCACCCTTCTTTTGTTTGAGTTGCGAACTAAGCTGTCTTTGTCAAGCCCCCTTGAGGTGCTCCTCCCTCTCTTCCTGGTCCCTCCCAAGACACTCTCACCTTCTGCCTCCCCATGGCTCCGGCAGTTGTTACTCCCACTGCCACTCCCCCTCTCCAGTCCTAGTGACAGATCTGCAAGGCCCAAAGCATGCACAGCAGCCACCGTACTTTTTTAAAATATTGCATACTGCCCCCCCCCATAGCCCCTGCGATTGCCAATCGCATGCTGTCCCCACAGCACCATGGCTTCTACCTGCACCCGATTGACACGGGGAAATTTGTCCTGTGCAGCCGAAGGCCTGGGTCAAACGGTGTCTGGGTGAATGAGCCGGGGCAAAGGGCAAGGGGTCATAGGCCCATTGGCCAGGGAAAATGGCTGAGGGAAGGCCAGCAAAGGAGGAAATCTAACTGAAAACGGGCTAAGACAGGTGGCAGGGGGCAAAGGAGGCACGGTCAAGGGTCCATGCCTAAACGTCTGATTCCGGTATCTACATATGGTTATCTAGATATTTGGTTGTTAACCACATTCTAGCTTTTGTCACTGAGACTAGGCGGTTCAACGTTCTTAGATTTGGTTTTAAACACATAATAAAACTGATTTTAGAACAATTTTGAGCATTAATATCAAATAAAACAAATTAGTATAACAGCTTAGTTAGATTTATATAGCTATGAGTAATGGTTATCTAGATGTTGGTAATGTAATAATATGAACAGGAGAGAAAGGCAGTAATATTGTAGTTTGAATTTGAAAATAATTGACTTAATGTTCACAAGACTTGAATTGTTATGATAATAACCATGTAAATTTTTATTTCAGTTTATGATGTCACAAGAAGAGATACATTTACTAAGCTAGACAATTGGTTAACTGAATTGGAAACATACTGCACAAGATACGACATAGTTAAAATGCTAGTTGGAAACAAAATAGATAAGGTAGGTCGATTCAAAATTACCGGTGGCATATAAACTGTGTGTGTGTGTGTGTGTGTGTGTGTGTGTGTGTGTGTGTGTGTGTGTGTGTGTGAGAGAGAGAGAGAGGGGGGGGGGGGAGAGAGGTATCATCTAATTATTCTACCTTTTTTTTTTTTTACAGGAAAACAGAGAAGTTGACAGAAATGAAGGTCTTAAGTTTGCCCGAAAACATTCCATGTTATTTATAGGTGAGTTCTTGAAATGAACTATGAGGAAGCAATTTGCAGTTTGTACAATAAAATGATACAATAGCAGCAATTATTTAGAATTGAACTACGTAATAGATGAAACATATATAAAGCCCCTGGGTATTCAGAAAAGATCCAGATATAGTTTCAATATCCTTATAAGCAGAATGCATGGTCCTGCTATCTCTTCCAGGCACAGAATTTCTCTTTTCTTCTGACAAAACAATAAGTAATCTGTTTCTAATGCAAAGGACATTAGACCATGTTGGTTATAGACTGGCTAAATGAGATGGATATTTTTGATAAAGTTGAACTTGGATGGCAAACAAAAGTATTAAATGATAAAACATGATAGAAGAGTACAAAGCTTTTTTAATCATGACTTGCTGTGGGAATTTTTTTGGCTAAAATTAATAGTTATTACAAAGCTATCCTGTAGTGCAGCGGTTCTCAACGTTTGTGTGACGGCGACCCCCGTCACACAAACGTTATGCGCATGCGCGGTGCAGTGCGCATGCGTGGCGGCGCCCCCATGTGCGGCGTGCATGCATGGCGGTGCCCCCATGCACGGTGCGCATGCGCGGCGGCGCCCCCCGGAGACACGGCACCACCCCCATGTGCGGCGCGCATGTGCGGCACCGCCCCCGGAGGGGAGAAAATGGCGGATCGCCGCCTTTGGCGACCCCCGAAAAATGGTCGATCGACCCCAAATGGGGTCGCGACCCATAGGTTGAGAACCGCTGCTGTAGTGCGTATTTGTAGCAGAATGCTTCAAGGATTGATAACAGTACAGGTAATCCTCAACTTATGATGGTAGAGGAACTTGCCCATTACAGCTGTAAGTCACAATAGTCGTAAAATGGGTCAGTCACATGACCGACCTGATTTTACATTTTTTTTTGCAGCAGCCATTAAGTAAAAGCAGTGATCATAAAGTGGCCACCATGTTTGTTTAAGTTGAAATGCCCCAGTGAACCAGTGGTTTGTTAGGGTTGGGGTTTTGCCAAAAACTGGGAAAAAATGTTTTTTGGCAAATGGTTGCATGATTAGAAGATGCTGCAAATGGCTGTAAATGCAACCTAGCTGCCAAATGTCCGAAGTTCAGTCATATGAGTGAGGCGGGGGGAGGGGCATTGGAACTTCAAATCCAGGCCATAAGTAGGTCAGTTGTAACTTTGAATGGTCACAAGTTGACCCGGTTGTAAGTTGAGAAGTACCTGTAGCAGCTGCCTGGTTTCATGCAGTGTTCAGCTTTGATCATGCATAGTCCTAAAGTAATGAAAGGTAACCCCAATGAAATGAAACGTTAACACTTTCCATGACTTTTGTTCCTTTTCCTATAGCAAACATTTGAACTTTTTTTTGTGTCTCCCTAATTCATGAGTGTTTTCTAGTAGCCTGGAAATGGGCTTTCATGATGAATCAAAACAAAATCTAAACACATTTTCCTGAAAGTATTTTTGTTCGTGGTTTCACATGCCTGCACTTTCTGACTTTTAGTTTCACTGATACCTACTTAGAACTCTCTTTAAATTTTAAATTAAACTCCTCAGGGCAGAATCTTGCTTATTTCTTTTCAAGTATCTTGCAAGTATAAAAGAATTTCACAAACAATTAGGAAAAGATTGGAAGGCATTACTAAGGAAGAAGGTTGTCTTTTAGCTTGTCCTCAAATATTTTCCTCTACATTACATATTCACTGAAGTGATAATGTGAAATTGCTTCCAGTGAACCCAGGTACAGTGGAGCAAAAAAGTATTTAGTCAGCCACCAATTGTGCAAGTTCTCCCACTTAAAAAGATGAGAGAGGCCTGTAATTGTCATCGTAGGTAGACCTCAACTATGAGAGACAAAATGAGAAAACAAATGCAGACAATCACATTGTCTGATTTGGAAATAATTTATTTGCAAATTATGGTGGAAAATAAGTATGTGGTCAATATCAAAAGTTCATCTCAATACTTTGTTATATATCCTTTGTTGGCAATGACAGAGGTCAAACGTTTTCTGTAAGTCTTCACAAGGTTGGCACACACTGTTGCTGGTATGTTGGCCCATTCCTCCATGCAGATCTCCTCTAGAGCAGTGATGTTTTGGGGCTGTCACTGGGCAACACGGACTTTCAACTCCTTCCAAAGGTTTTCTATGGGGTTGAGATCTGGAGACTGGCTAGGCCACTCCAGGATCTTGAAATACTTCTTACGAAGCCACTTCTTTGATGCCTGGGCGGTGTGTTTGGGATCATTGTCATGCTGAAAGACCTAGCCACGTTTCATCTTCAATGCCCTTGCTGATAGAAGGAGGTTTGCACTCAAAATCTCACGATATATGGCCCATTTATTCTTTCCTGTACACGGATCAGTCGTCCTGGTCCTTTTGCAGAGAAACAGCCCCAAACCATGATGTTGCCACCCCCATGCTTCACAGTAGGTATGGTGTTCTTTGGATGCAACTCAGCATTCTCTATCCTCCAAACACGACGAGTTGTGTTTCTACCAAACAGTTCTACTTTGGTTTCATCTGACCATAGGACATTCTCCCAATCCTCTTCTGGATCATCCAATGCTCTCTAGCAAACTTCAGATGGGCCCGGACATATATGGCTTAAGCAGGGGGACACATCTGGCACTGCAGGATCTGAGTCCCTGGCGGCGTAGTGTGTTACTGATGGTTGCCTTTGTTACGTTGATCCCAGCTCTCTGAAGGTCATTCACTAGGTCCCCCCGTGTGGTTCTGGAATTTTTCCTCACCGTTCTTGTGATCATGTTGACCCCACGGGGTGAGATCTTGCGTGGAGCCCCAGATCGAGGGAAATTATTAGTGGTCTTGTATGTCTTCCATTTTCTAATTATTGCTCCCACAGTTGATTTCTTCACACCAAGCTGCTTGCCTATTGCAGATTCAGTCTTCCCAGCCTGGTGCAGGTCTACAATTTTGTTTCTGGTGTCCTTCCACAGCTCTTTGGTCTTCACCATAGTGGAGTTTGGACTGTGACTGAGGTTGTGGACAGGTGTCTTTTATACTGATAACAAGTTCAAACAGGTGCCATTAATACAGGTAAAATGAGTGGAGGACAGAGGAGCCTTTTAAAAAAGAAGTTACAGGTCTGTGAGAGCCAGAAATCTTGCTTGTTTGTAGGTGACCACATACTTATTTTTCACCATAATTTGCAAATAAATTCTTTCCAAATCAGACAATGTGATTGTCTGGATTTGTTTTCTCATTTTGTCTCTCATAGTTGAGGTCTACCTATGATGATAATTACAGGCTCATCTCATCTTTTTAAGTGGGAGAACTTGCACAATTGGTGGCTGACTAAATACTGTAGTCTAACCTGAATATCTATGTTTCTAAATCTTCAGCAACACAGTGGCTTTCATAGCAAATTAATCTATGGCCATTGAAAACAAAAAACAGTGATAACTATAGAAGTAACTAATAATTAACTAATAATTAAGTCAATTATTTTCACTAATTTTCATAAAATTTAACCGGGGGGGGGGGGAGAGAAAATACAGATTTTTGGCTTGTCATGAAATAAACCTTTTCCCCAGATGGGTTTGTATTTGATTGACTTTTCATAAAGTAGTCTCATCTCTGTCAAATAGTGATGGGTAATGTGTAACCTTTATGCACTGCTCCTGCCCTTTTGTATAGGCTTTGCAACCAGTGAAATTGTGGGAATGAAATTGAGTAACAAGCTACTAGTTTTCATTCTTTCTTCTGCTTGCCTTTTAAAATAAAGACTAAAATGATTGCATCACATCTGGTAGATTCAGCTCAATCCTTTCAATGTTTTATGATCAGGGTTTCTTGAGTTCCATAGTTTGGAAAAAATATATTAACAAACCCTCCATAATTGTACCCAAAATTATATACATTTCCTCCAATAGTGGTGCATTTTATTAATGCTGCAAATTTATAGGATGGCTTTCTTTCATGTTCTAGAGAAGGTGCAATAATGTACATGTACAATGAAGCCTTTTTTTAATATCACCACAATTTATTTCTCTCCCCACCCTGTCTCCCTTTTAGAGGCAAGTGCAAAAACATGTGATGGTGTGCAATGTGCTTTTGAAGAACTTGTTGAGAAAATAATTCAGACTCCAGGACTGTGGGAAAGTGAAAGCCAAAACAGAGGTGTAAAGTTATCGAACACTGAAGAGGGCTATCGGGGTGCCTGTGGTGGCTATTGTTCTGTGTTATAAACTCTGTAGGATTATTTACTTATTTAAGAGGTAGAAATATCCTCTGTACATAAACTCATATCTGCTATTTTAGGGACCTTGCAGTTTGCACATATTTGTGTAGTATGACAGGGAACATTTTCCTTGGAAAATATATTCTGCAGCTTTTCCATTGGAGAAATGCTGTGATAAGCATGCCAACATTGCAACGTTCTAGTTTTTTTTTTTAATTCATAGCATCCCATTTTGCTAGGGACATATTCATATTTCCTAACTTTATCATGGAATATTTGGACAACTTTATGTTGACTGTAAAATCTGACTGGTCTCTAACCCAAATCACAGGATTGTTTGAGATACATCTTAAATGATGCAAGCAGATAGAAGTAAAACATGCATTTCTTACTTGCAATTGCTTTTTCTAACCTGTTTAATAGCATAATGATACAATCTTTTTTTAGCTATAAGCAACACCTTTTTTAGCTTGCAACTTGTCCTGGGGTGATTGTGAACTTCAAGGGAAGGGAAAGGATCACTTTTTAACTGATCACTGCAATAACTGTACTTTGCATCACAAAGTTCACAATGCAAATCTGTAGGAGGATGCTTTCTGGTTAAGGACTTCACAGAGTCCCATTGTTAATCATCTTGCCAAGTTTTGAACATTTCTTTATGCTATTAGTGTAATTTGGACTTGGTAACTCAAAAACTACTGCGCCTTGGTGTTTTAAAGCCTTGAATTAAATGGCTGTTGCATTTGCAGCTATTGTCTCTGATCCATAATTGTTGAAAGTGTCTCCTGGATATGTGTGTCTGTGTAAGGAATATGTTTTGTTGAGGTTTTGCTGTAACAAACAGCCTGTGGCTGGCTTGTTTCAAGAGAACTTGTATCGTTAATAAATTTTTTTCGACAGTATTGTTTATTCCCCTCTAATATCTTGCTCATGTATGAATGACTTTTGTAAATCATAATGCAAGGACTACTTCTGTTATATGCAATACTGGTACCCCCTTCTCATTAAAAATTAATAATCTAAGTAAGCAATTTAAAATATTGTGCGGTTTCCTGTAAATATGGAAATAGACATGTTTATGCTTTTTTGTACACTTTACAAACCATTGTTGGTTTTTCAACCAAAAATAGACTGCTGTTCCGATTTGAATGCACTTCACTTATAATATTTCATTTTCTTTACATTTTTAGAAAACCATGGAGATTACTCTAATGAAAAATTGCATTTAAAATAACAGTGTTTCATATGCATTGCATTACACATTATATAATGCCAATTGATTTCCATCTCTTTTGCTGAATAAATTATAGATCAGCAAACTGGCATGTTTCTTTGTAAGGCAGGTAAGAGAAGAATGAAATGTTATTGTAGTGTTTATTTAGTGTAGTGTTTTTAACGTAATAAAGATTTGTGAAGTAGGAATATATCCCATTAAAAAAACATGATTTGCTTACGTTTTCCCCTGATGATGTTCTGACCCATTTGATGTTTTGGATTAATTTGAGGAATAGGCATTTTTTTTTCAAAAATCCCCATTTTCTACCCCAAGGTGAAACTCATATTGTGTGTCTAAAAAAGTGGAGCCCTTTGAATTATAGAAATAATAAAATCCTTTCATGTTTTATGCTTCTTTATGCTTTTTCTGGAAAAAAGAGACGCAGAATTTTTCAAGACACCAAACTTTGCACTCTAATCAGTGAATATACAAAACCAATCCACAGTAATTGAAAATTGCCCTAGACACCACATATATGAATGGACAAAACTAATATTTTATTGGAATGTTGTATAGAACAGGAATTATAAAGTCTCATTCAAGTACCTCCCTGAAAATTAATTAAAATTAAACTAATAAATCATTTGATACCATCTATAATTATATCTAATACAAAGTTGAAAATGTACCCTTCCTTCCAGCAAATTGCCTGTGTCTGCTTGATTGGAGGGGGAAAACATTGATTGGAGGATAAGCACAGTTTTGAGGTAAAAAATAAGGCAACCACATTAACTTCCTTTTATTTTATTCTTTTTTCACGAATGAAGGAAAATGTATGTGTCCCAGTATATATATATTTTTTTTCTTCTTCTGATCAGTCGTGTCTGTTATACACTTATTTTCCTTAGTATCCTGTTAAATGAGAGAATCCAATTTTGATAACATCTCAAATCCTTAAGGAAACCCCATACCAGAGAAGGTATACATTCAGGAAAATGGGAGCTGAGTTAATAAAAGTATGGATGAAGCTTTATACTTGCTTAAGGCACTAATTTTATATGTTGAGCTCTAGAGGCTACATCTCAAAATGACTCCAGACCTTGCTTATTTTACTCTCAATGTGCCCTTCAGAGGCTGATGTTGTCCTTGAGCAAACAGAATTCATGGATAAAGATATATTCATTTCAGTTTATTAAGCCTTAATATTAAGCATTGGAACATCTTTAAAAGAAGGTTAAAATTGAATCCCTATTGATCACTTTAAGAGTGTATTCTTTGAAGGAAGATTGGCCTATTAAGCAAATTTATTGCTTAGATTAGCACCTTTTTGGAAAGTATGGAGAACCAGCTGTTTAAATTAGGTTAGTTGATAAGGAAAACAGTATAATCAAATATATAGTTATGTTATAAAAATTACTTTGCAAAAGTTTTCTGTCCTCAGTGGTCTTTGGTATATCTTGGTTAGAACTGAGCTACTGTACTGGTTCAGGTATTTTCCTAAACTGGATTCAATCTAATACTTTGGTATCTATTTGAAATAATGGCATGATTTAATACTAAGATATGTGGTGTAAGGTAGTTTTTCTTGAAATATTAAAATGGCTTTTTCATAGAAAGCTTCTAAATATTTGGTTTTGCAGAATTCTTTTCTTACCAGCATTCATCTGAACCCACTTTTTGAACCCAAATCCACATTCCTAGGAATGCTGCATCTACCCCCTTGACAACAAACTGATGTACAACTGCAAAATGAACATTTTTGACTTAACAGCCATAAGCAGTAAAATAGTTGTTGGTAATTATCTCTTAGCTGTGAAGATAGATAAAACTAAAACAGACTGCATAACAGCAAGCAGCAAATCTGAGAAAGTATGGGTATAAAATACGTAGAACTACATAATAAGCAAAGCTTTTGATGGGTAGACATCTGTGACGAAGTACACAAATGCAATCCAGCACAGCATTTTGCTATTCTATGAGCAAATTAGTGTAATGCAAGATTTGTTTGACCCAGATGCTTGCTGAAAAATATGCTTGTACAAACCAAAGTGTTTACATTTTTCAAAAATAACACAAGTAACTCCACATCACCTTGTTTCTTTATACAGTATGTACATTTGTAAATGTTAAAAAGATAGCCAATAGGTGATGTGAAATGAAATAGACAATATTTTCTTCTAGTTGAGAAAACCTGAACTCCTGGGGATGGCATTTGAGTACATTGTGTACCATCCTTTGATCATGGTTGACTCATGTAATCTTAATATTTATGGAAGATCACAGTAGGTCTTTTTACCAGCAGAAGCAGCTCACCAAAGGCATTTTTTACCAAGAGGAAGAAAAAATTTGGACTCCACCTTCAGCAATGGGAGAAGACTACTGGTATTAGTTGTACATAAGCTTCTGAAACATCTGCCCCTTTAGAAGTTGCTGAATGAGGACTCTTGCCAGCATGACTTGTCATTCAGATTCCCCCCCCCCACAATCCTCTAAAACATTGACTATTGGAGGGTATTGTATTAAAAGGAACAAACTATTAGCAATAGCACTTATATACCACTTCATAATGCTCTCTTTTTATAGGGTTCATTTTTTTGAGCTTTCAAATTATGTAAAGTATTACCTTCTCTACATTTTGGATTCTTAAAAAGGTCTTATTTGTTAAAATGCAAGGAATAAATAAACGGGGTAATTCAGTATTGAAAAATTTACTTAATGTGGATTTTACCAACTGGTCATGCCAATCCAATAAAATGGGAGAGAACATTTGAAATAGTATCTTCTGAGGTTCACAGGTATGACTAACCATGGAATAAGGAGCTGTGGAATAGACAGCCACAGTTCCTATTAAAGATTATGCAGATCTGGAGAAAATATTCTGACGCAAAGACATCACACTATATTGTTAAAGCTATGGTTTTCCTAGTCATGTGGCTATGTGAACTGGATCATCACGCTGAATCAACAAAGTGCAATGCATTTGAACTGTGGCCCTGGAGAATATGAGAATATCTTGGAAGCCAAGAAGAACAAATCATTTTGTGCAAGAGGAAATAAAAACCAAAGTGCTTATTGGAAGCACTAAAAATAGATTAGGTCATTATTTCTCAACCTTGGGAACTTCAAGGTATGTCGACTTCAACTCCCAGAATTATTCAGCCAGTCATGGCTGGTTAGAGAATTCTGGGAGTTGAAGTTCACATGCCTTAAAAGTTCACAAGGTTGAGAAATACTGGGTTAGGTATTTTAGACACATAATGTGAATGCCGCAATCATTGGAGAATCTTGATGCCTGGAAGAACCAAAGGCAATCAGTAAAGAAGCTGATAGAAGACAAGATGGCTGGATACCGTTACTGATAATTCATACATAAATTTAGAAGAACCCAAAGAAGCAGTTATTCTGGCAAAGCAATGCCCATCTGACCGGGAAGATAACAATATTGGCAAGAATATTATTAAAATCAGGCTGTCTGATATATCAGTCTGAGAGTGACAGTACATGGATACCTCTGTGCATGCAGTTACTAGTTAAACTCGCCATTTTCCCAAGTCTAAGTCTATTAGACATAGAACTACTTTCCTTTTTCTTTTTCAAAAACCTCCCTTTCATTGTCTGTAAAACATTAATCCTGCTCCCCTCTTCATCACCTCTCTCTCATGCTATCTTAGCACTTTTTTTAAAAAGATGACTTCCCGTGTGATGGAGGAGTGAGGTAATAACCAAGCTACTCCCCCCCCTAATAATATAATTCATTTGTGTATATATTAATAAATAGCAATCTAATTCTTGATTAAAACTGCTATATATACTCTCTTCTCTGTGAAAGCCCAATTCATACATTTACATTTGGTCTTCTGGATCATAGAAAAGATAATTTCTATAGCTTTATACGTATGTCTTAACTTGAGAGTGCACAAATGCAAGTTTTTTTGCTTTAATGTATACTCTGCCCAAAACGGCATACACAGCACTCTTGACCTTCAGTCTCCTCCACCAAAACAGCATGGTGAAGTAGGCTGAAATGGAGAAACACAGGAATGACATACAACTCCCTCATTGAACAATTAATAGTCTCTTGCAAAGAAGCAAAATAATTGCAGCTTGTCTGATCTTTGGTTTGTTTCCCTCTTTTTTAGCTAGCTTAGATCAAGCCCAAATCCCAAAAATTTATATTTTATACATGCTGTTAAAGCTTAGTTTGCTTAATGAGTGGTGGGAAAAGTAACATGGGTCAATAACAGACATCAGTCAGTATCAAACAAAATGTTGGCTGGGCTTAAACAGCACAGCAAGTAAAATTCAGCACAGCCCTATTTTGTTGCAGTGTAATGTATGGGGTCAAAAGCAATATAGCCTTGAGTCAACACAAATTTTATATGCTATTTCTTGCTCTTAATTGGTTTGCTCATGGGCAATGAATATAGCTTGTTATATTGAACACTGCATACCTGAGAATATTTAGGAGAAAGAAAAAGAAAATACTGAAAAGATAAGAAAGGGACATAACTTGCTGTGCAAGGTGGTCCTCCTGAAAAGGACGGGCAAAAAGAAGAAATATTTGCAGTCATTCCTGGGGGTATAATCAACTCCTAAGTCAGCCCCAAAGGGAGGCATTTCTGCTATCAAAGAAAGCCAAGTAAGTCAGAATGGGAAATTAAAAGAAGGCAATGGAACCAGCCCACTCATTAACTATTGTGATGTGTGACTTCCTGGGCTGCCTTCTTGAATGATGTATAACTACTCTTGTCCTAGAAGTCTTGTTATGGACAAGATTGAGAGTAAAGTGAGGTGGAACTACTCAGAAGTCTGTACTACTATTCATAGACATTTGCAAAATACAGCCAAATTTATTCATGGTGAAATTTTTAATATGCTTCAGGAAATGAAGTACCTTTTTAGCATAACTCTACTTTAGCAAATTTTCATGCAGCTTTAGCAGAGATCATTTGTATTTTCTTTACAAATCTTGCCTCTTTTCATGTTATTACATAAAGAAATAAAAAGAGACTTCTGTCTCTATGTTGTACTCACTTCTGTCCGAATCTGTAGTCTGATTTTGATGCTCTGACACCATTCATTTCTGGCCAAAATTTCTCTTTTCACAGCTGTTAAAAACAGCAGCAGCTGTGTAGAGTTCATTTGACTCTGTGATGGTGTCCTCTATATCTGATTAAGATAGCAAAGTGCAAAAAGATAAGAGTTGGCTTTCCCCCTGTATTTTTAAACCAAATAAATGCAAAGGAAATGCAAAATCTTGGAAGTAAGGTTCCCACACAAAATACAGTCAAAACAGTAAAATGGTGTTTACAACAGTATTGTATAATCAAAGTTTGCCCACATTTTATGTATCGTGTTATGACCCAGGTGGTCACAATTAGGCAGGCCTTCAGATTGTTCTTTATTTC